AGGAGGAGGAGGCGGCGGGGTCACGGTCGCCCAGCCTGCGGCGGGGGCCCAAGAGCCATCGGGCCAGCGAGGAGACGGCGGCGGTGCCCCTGGAGGAGGCCGAGCACCGGTGGCTGGTGATGGCGGCTGGCGGGCAGTGGACCCAGCAGCTGCACGGGTTGCTGCTGGGCGACGCCAGCTTGGCGGCCCGGAGGGACTTCATCTCAGGCTTCACCGCCCTGCACTGGGCCGCCAAGAGCGGCAACTGCGACATGGTGACGAATGTCATCAGAGCGGCCGAGAAGGGGGGGACCCGCGTCAACGTGGACGCCAGGTCGCACGGCGGCTACACGGCCCTCCACCTGGCCGCCATACACGGCCAGGAGAAGGTCATCACCATGCTGGTCTACAGCTACCACGCCAAGACCGACCTGAGGGACTACAGCGGGAAGAAGCCGCACCAGTACCTAAAGGAAGGGGCCTCCTCCGCGGTCAGGCGCTTGCTGGGGGACCCCAGCCTTCCCCACAACGCGGAGCCCTCCGCGCCCATCAAGAAGACCACAAAGCTTGCGGCTTCCATCTTGAGCTCCACTAGCACTTTCCTGGGGGTCATATCCGATGACATGGCTTTCTACGACCTCACCAAAGGTTTAAGGAAGCCCTCATCCTTAAACAAGCTCCTGGCTGCCACTACGGGCCCGAGGAGGAAGCCAAAGACTAGAGGGGGCTTCCCTTCCTATTCCTCCCTCTCCGAGGTAACGGAGGAGGAGGAAGAGGAGGTCGTTGTGAAACGCAGACCCGTTTCTGAGCTGTTCTTTGGCCACTAGCCTTCTCGGGATCGAAATTGTTTAATAATGTGACTGGGGTCTCGATTTCCTCTCGCAGAAGCAGCTTGGATTTCTTCTCTCCGTGTCTCTCTTTTTGGATATTTAACTAAATCAGCGATAGGGTCTGGCTCCAAAAGCCACTGGCTGAGACCCAGCCCACAGACGCCTGTGGAAAGGGAGCTGCCCAGGGAGTGTTATAAACGCTGTATGTACCATAGTGCTGATGTATCGGTGGAGACTGCAAACTTTATACTTAACGGTTGAAAAACTAAAACAACCTCTGTGTGCGTAGACAGGTTAAAATGCTTAAGGTACAGCCTTCTTGACCGGCGTTCCTTGGCTGGAGAGCACAAGTAAGGTAAAGAATTGCATATTCTACACTGTGAACAGCGAGCTGGTAGCTGGCTACTTTAACATGGCTTGTTACATAGCAGGCTTAAATTATTAGAGGAAAGATGCATAGTTTTCTATGATGTTTCTGATTATTTTGGTAACAGAAGAGGAGTATTTCTATTTAAAAAAAAATTGTATTTAACTTTTTCAAAACAAAGTTTCTCACTATCAGAAATACTAACATAACAATCTCAATTTTTGCCTAATGCATTTTATTAGATTAACAACTTTAAAAATAAAAACCCCACCCTCAGCACTCAAGTCACCATGACCTGTCTACCTCAGTGTGAAAGCTAGGTTAGCATTTTAAATTTTTTTTTCTCTTCCTGAAAGACTTTCTGACTTTCTTTCTCTTCCTGAAAGACTTCCTAGGTGGGACTAACCACATGTCTTGATGATACTGTGAACATTTGAACTTGTCTATAGTTCAGTCACTTAATCTGAATAAAAACCTTGTTGATATTTGATAGTGAAAAACTGAACTAAAGAACCGGGAATAGGATCCTGCAGAGTTTTCTGAGTAGCCAACTGGAAACAAAGCTAGGCTCGTATGTCTGATTCTTTTTATTTAGAACTTGGCCTTTGATTTTGACCTATTTACAATAAATATTTCTAAAAATTGGGCTTTAGGTTATGTTAGGTGTTTCATGATAGAATGTCTGCATGATCTCTTAAAGCAATGTTTATCTCCACAGCATGAATCATTGACTTAAAACTAACTCTTCTTTTATATCATAAACATAATTGTTCTATATATAGAACTACACATAGCTCCAAAAAGCATGCTAACTGCAGGTTAAGTAATAGATTTGCAGTGAGATTATTATTTTTTTAATTACTATTGGGTTAAAGTTAATGTGAAAAGGCAGAGCTAAGAACAGAAACTGTCTGACTGCTGGGGCCAGTCTGCTAAACTGTCTCATTTTCTCTAAAAATGTAACTAAAAAAACCTGTGTAATTCAGAGGTGACAAAGGTGATAGCAATACTATGCTTGCTCTGCTTTTCAGCCCCGTCAGGTGTTTTGGTTTCTGCACTGAAACACTTGTTTGCATGCTTTGCCTTTCTTTCCAAGTCAGTGACTTCAGGAATGTTTTTTTCAGCCTTGAATCAAGCTTAGTACTTCTAATTGGCTGTAATTGGCTTCTCCCAAATGCTTGGCAAAGAATGCTGTACAGGACTGTGCTGAAGGTGGAGGCACTGCCCGCTTTTACCTTCTCCCCGGAGTTGGTGACATTTGTTGTAAGGGTAATCAGCGATTGCAGAGGGGTCTGATCCACCTGCTCTCGGAAGAGACTGGATTATTCTGCGCTGGTCTGCTTCCGTATTGAACTAATTAAGTTGTTAAGCAAACGTTAATGATCAAGCACCTCATGACTTCTATATCTGGAGTAGGGTTTAAAAAAAAAATAAAATCCTATTTGCTCCATAGCCATAGCTGTTGGTGTGACCATTGACCAGCGTGGTCAGTTGAAGCCTTGACTTGTGCTACGCTGTGTCAGCTCGCAGAGTTCCAGGAAAAAAAAGTCTGTCGCTCTGTTTTAAGAAGTCTTTCCAAATTTACTGACATTAAACACTTTTTTTCTGTATTTACTGAAACTACAGAAGCATGCGTGTGCATTCGTGTTGCATCTGAGGCACTGGCAGGACTAACGCTGCCTGGTAAAAGTGTTCTGATTCTGTGTGAATTGGAAATGCTCTCCGGTTTGACTCAGCCTGATAGGGAAGTTTGTTCATTAGTTATGGCTATATGTTTGATACCTGTTCAAATAACATAGCTGAATTTTTAGTGCTAATTCTGAGTAAAGCCTACTTGAGTCGGAGGCAAGGTTCAAGGATAGAGTGTTTTCTGGTTAAAAAAAACAACCTGACCAACCTGTAAAGCGTGGTTACGACTTCACCATTAGGAAAGTAGGGAGAAGGTTTCATTGCTCCTGTATTGTTGCGTCAAAGGAAAAGCAAGAAGTCACAGCTGAGATAAGACTTCATTGCAGCACGTATCATCAAGGAAACTCAGCACTACTCATTCCTCAGAGGCATCACAATGATGAGCTAGCGTGATAGAAAAATGCCCAGCAACAACAACAGAGCCCTCCTCCTTACAGCGTTCCCCGGGGAGGTGCTCCAAGGCTTGGCAGGAAGGTTGCGACACAAAGGTGGGGAGCTCACAAGGTCGGGTGCTGTGTGTGGGGTGGGTCAGGCTCTGCCAACAAGTTTGTGCAGTGACTCAGCTCATTCCTCCTCCTTGTTGAGCAGATTAAGGAAAAGATAGTATTTAGCTAGGCTGTGATTAGTATACCCAGTGCCATATGACTTCAGGTGCAAACAAACAAATACTGAGAGGTATTGAGAATGCACTGCTGTAATCTTAGAAAAATATATATTGCCTTTAGTTTGAAGTAAAACCAGTCTATCAGCCTTTCTGGGTTTTGCTTTCGCATGTTGCCATTTACACTGTGGAAGGGACACTGTAGGACAATCACGGCAGTGTTTTCCTGGCAGAGACTAAGGCTGGGACTGTTTTATGAATCCCTTGGCTTGATAGATGCTCCTTAATACCACAATGTCGAGCCCAAATCCAGCTGAACACAGTAGGATTTTCACCTGGATGAGTGAGAGCTGTCAAGTTTAGCCAGGATGCCTTCACAAGCGACAGAGCCAAGAGGAGGACTGTGGCTCCCGTCAGTGCGCTGGCCCGGGGCAGAGGCTGTGCCGCAGCGTGCTCCACGGGCTGGGCAAGCAGCCTTTTGAACCTCTGGCCCAGCCCAGAGCCGGGAGCTGCCTTCCCCACCATCAAAGCTGATTGCAGGAAAGGATAAAACCAAAAAACCCTAGCCCCCTGGGCTCTGCTTCTGCCCTGTGGAGATGGCTTACGTGGTGGGGGAAGGCTGGCAGCTGCGGAAGGCTGGAGATGGAAGGTGCAGGTGAGGCACAGGACCGGGATTCAGGAGCTTGGGGTTGTATTTTGCCTTGGTTACTAGCCTGCCTACTTGCCACGTCTCAGTTCTCCTGCTGTAAAATGGAGATAATCACCCTGGCCACTTCTTTAAAGCACACAGTTAGTATCGATATTCCAAAGTGAAATCAAGATAATTTTTTTTAGACCTGTAGGCAGCACGAGCAGCGTCATCCACAACTTGTGAATGCGTGCATTCAGTGGAGCACCTACACAAATAAAACGAGCTCAGATTTTAGTTTAGCAGCATCAGAGATCAGCAAAGCTAATGTTTGTCTGACCCTGGCTCAGTCCGCCTTTCTAAAGATAAGTTGTTTCATCCACTCCTCGGCACATTTTGTTCCGAGGAGTATCAGCTCAGAAACTTGCACTGAAGAGGTTAGCAAACAAGCTTCAAGCCGTGATTCTATACAAAGGGACAGACTTTGTCCTCCTGCATGCGGCTGTTTGAGCAGCATGAGGCAGTGCGGTTGCGGTCAGGCTCAAATAAATTTTTTGGCCGTCTCCATCCCCTTGTGAGTGCTGCACAGAAAAAACACCTGTTCTACGAAAGCCCTGGGAAATGCCGCTCCTGCACCGCAATGGAGTCTTTACGAGATTTCGACTTCATCACAAACCCAAGGTCCAGTGGAAGAGTCACTGAATAACTCCAACAGACCCAATGGGAGTTGCAACCACCAGCTGAAGGTAGAGGAGGCCTTTCGACAGTCCCGTGACTCCCCATTGCTCGTCCCTTCTCCTCCCGCTCTGCACGTTTCCACTATGACCTACATTCCTTGGATGCATTTGCCTCCTGATTTGCATATTAATCTAAGTAAAATGGCAACATGGCAGTTTTTGCTCTTTCCAGTGATTTGTACTAATGTGGGACCCCCCAAATTAAGAGGTTGTTAATAGGGACTTGGCCGGCACATAGCACGGGCACAAACAGCATGGTGTTTGTTTGTTGGAGGAGGAGAACAGGGACAGAGCAGGACAACACAGATCAAAAGCTCTGCATCGTAATGAGGAACATTCATTTTCTATTCTAGTTCCAAGGTTTATTTCACTAATTTATCAGACAAAGCAAATCATTAAGCACATCTAGCCCATATATGGCGTGTGCAACCCCAAAACGAACCATCACCAACTGCTGGCCATTGAACGATGGTGGCTGGTCACCCGCTAGCCCTTTTGGAGTGAACTGCCAGAAAAGTCCCATCAGGAGACACTTTCTAATGGTGGTGCAGCTGCCTGCAGTAAAAGAGTGTCCTTGCCAAATAACCTAGACTAGTTCAGAAAAGGCATTTAGAGATAGATAAACTGTTCTCACCAAACTCATTCCACTGATGAACACCGTTACACCTGCAAGGGTTTCTAAAACAGACCTGCTGTAGAAGCGCATGGTGCAGCCCCCATCAGCAGCAGTCTGGTCCTACTCACTGCCCCTGAAAGGGGCATTAAAAAAAGAAAAAAGCCAATTGCACCGCAAAGCATTTTTGGGTAGATTTGTATCAACAAACGCTTCTGGTAGAAATGCAGATCATACAAGGGAAAGACTTTCTCTGTGTAGAACTCACACGATTCCTCAAGTGAAATAAAGCATACCAGCAAAAAAGATTTTTCTGGCCAATCTGAGTATATCTACCCAGCACAGGGGCTGGGACAGGATTC